TACACTGCTAAATTAGGGACGGTTAGTGCAGATAGCCCTCGTGTGGCTTTGCACGAAATTCAAAAAAAAAAATCTTCACCAGTGATCAACAGCAAAGTGATTCTAGAAACAATTGTGAATGACATCTGATATGATCAATTCAACTTGTTATCACACAACTAACAGTGCAAAACCTTCAAATCACTGAGAAACGTCTATGCCATGGTACTAGAAGCTTCATTGTAGTGAAGGAACACTTGCAAGAACACAATATGACTGGTAGCATTGGAATCAAGCATTTGTTAAGTAGAACTTAAGTTTGGATACATCTCTGGGAACCCTTTCTTTATCATATGCAAGTAAATCTTATTTATTCCTTTCAGTTTAAGAGGCTGAACTATTTCTTCAACTTATCAGGCAAATACTCATAGTTGACATTGCCTGAAAAGAAAGTGGCCAAGGCCTTCAACATAAGAATTTTAAATGCATCTGGAGACACTAAAAAATCAGTGGATAACAAGAGCAGCAACATATTTTCAGAAAATCAAATTCTTAGAGCTCTCAGCATCAGATCCAATACTTTGTTAAAGAATGTGGCTCAGTAACAATCTTTGCCAGCTAATATGGATCCAATGGACAAAAAAAAACCTTTCTAGTGTAAGGTTCTGAGTAAGTAATGTCAATACTGCTTGCTGTATTTTTCAGCAGTTGCAAAATGCTGGTCAAAAGTTTCCTCATTTCTCATGCTTTCAAATCAGATCCAATACTTTGTTAAAGAATGTGGCTCAGTAACAATCTTTGCCAGCTAATATAGATCCAATGGACAAAAAAAAACCTTTCTAGTGTAAGGTTCTGAGTAAGTAATATCAATACTGCTTGCTGTATTTTTCAGCCGTTGCAAAATGCTGGTCAAAAGGCTCCTCATTTCTCATGCTTTCAAATTCTGAAACTAACACTTGAACTTGAGATGTTGCTATTGCAATGTCCTTATCCTCACACTGCTGATATTTGGATGATATTTAAATGAAAGATGAAAGACCATGTGTTTCAATATGATTTTGCAGTAGATTGAACGTTACATCTGACTTTTTATAAGAGCACATTACCATATCTAGTAAAGATTCACTGACATGTCTTATGATAAAAGAAAGTTGGTCTTGTTTGTTGGAATCAAATGTTGTGTTTCGGCATATAGTATAGTACGTTGCCTTTCTAAAATCATTTAAGAATAACATCATGAGCAATCTCAGCCTGGCATGAATTGAGATGAAGTTGGGGTTTAACCAGAGTATTCATGTGATTAACTTTGTTTTTGTTGATGTTCAACCACATATAAAATTATGTCAAAACTGTTGAAATTTACATTGAAAATTTAAACAATTCAACATGAGTGTGTTAAATGTCAAGAATAGCTGACGTTGACATTATGAAGTTTGTTTGACTTAAATGTGCCATGGTGTACTGCTAGGATTATCATTTTATATTTAATAAGGTTTAACTATGTTGAGATTTATCTTAGTAGAAAAAGCAA